CTGTATGGGTTTGCTCGACTATGCTTTTCTTGTTAATTTTTTTCTTGTGCTTTTAATTAGGAGAGGGGATTAGGAGCCTGTGGGAGGAAGAAACAATAGTATTGCCAAGAAAAAAGAAAAAGTACCATTGATATACATACATACATATACATGTATATGTATATATACTCAGAGAATAATTCAGAAGGAAGGACAGACAACCAGGACAGTTTTGAAAGTGGAAGGCTGAATTGTTTATAGATAGATAGATGGATAGATAGATGGATAGATAGATAGATAGATAGATAGATGCATACATACAGATGGTATAAATATTACATATATATTTCAAGCAAGAGGTGTAGAAAAGAGATTTATGGTTTTATAAGCAATCTTCTTTAAGTGTTTTACTTTGTGTAAGGAAATGTTGTTTTTGAGGGGATATCTCTTTTTTTTTAAAATCTCTAAACCATGACAGTGGATGTCCATTGTTTTAAACAATAAATGTGACCATAAAGACCAGAGGGTCAATATGATTATCCATTTGTTACTAAAAAAAAAAAGCCTTTTAAAAATGCTACAGTCTCCCCTAGGGATGATTGTGGATGGCTTTGGCATCCAAAGGGATATGACTGACATTGACCTATTCCGAAATTCAGTTCCTTACAAAAATGTTCAGCCATTTCTAGATATGACTTTTGGGTTGACATCTGAAACCTGAATCCATGTTTAATTGGTCGTCAGCAGGTTTCTATTTCCTGCACAGATAACAACTGGGGGTAGAGAAGGGGAAGATGGAATTATTGATTTAATGGGATGCCAAATAAATAGATGTAGGCAGTCATTATTGCTCAGTTTTAGGCCTAAATTTTGCAGTTATTACTTTAAAAAATAAATCTATAAAATACTTTGATTGCCTTTGCTACAAACCCTCAGAGAAACTGCTTATGGGGGTGGAGATGGAGAATTAATATGCTCCTAATATGAAAAAATCACATACAGAGGTCATTAAGAAAAGAAAATTTCCAAAATTCATTCCAGAGGAGGGGGAGTCACTTCATTAAAGACTTTCCGTTTCCTCCATGGCTTAAAGCAGCAACAACATGGAATTTAGTCATTTATTTTGTTGTTGCAAAGAACTAGAAAACAAGTGTGTGCCCATCGACTGGTGAATGGTTGACCCAATTATGGTAAATAAATGTAATGGGACAATGAACTGTAATAAACAATAAATATGAGGAATTAAGAGAAACTTGGGGAGATTCCTGTGAACTGAAACATAGTTACATAAGGAGAACCAGGAGAATGAAATTGACAGCAGTGTAAATGAGTTCCCCAAAGCAAGTGAAAAGTCAATAACGGTTCCAAGAATAAATAAACATAGCACCCTCCTTTCAGCAGACAGGAGGAGGACTGCTCCCAGGGGCGGGGAACCTGCGGCCTCAAGGCCACATGTGGCCCTCTAGGTCCTCAAGTGCGGCCCTTGTTCTGTGAAATTTGGATTCAAAGGGTCGCACCTGAGGACCTAGAGGGCTACGTGCGGCCTCGAGGCCACATGTTCCTCAGCCCAGGACTTGGGCACAACACTGTATACCTTGTCAGACATCTCACTATAGTGGGAATTCTAGCTCAAATGTTTTTCTTTGTGACAAGGGAGGGTTCAATTCCAGAATGGGGTGGTCAGGAAGGGTAAATTTATGCTTTTTTACGAATAATTGTAACATAAAAACAGAAAGCAACCAATTAAACTTTTATTTTTAAGCATGAACTTTAAATAAGAATTTGATGGGCCTACATGTAAGGATTCATGGAATCAAATTAATTGCAGATGTAGGAGGACCAGAAACTCCTAATAATTAAGAACCTAATAATTAGGCCCTGTTTCTGGGCCAACTCCTTCATTTTACAGAGGAAGAAAATGAGATTCAGAAAGGTGAAGACAATTACACAGGCTCATGAAAGCAGAAAATGGCAAAGCTAGAATTTTAGTCTTCTGACTCTAAATCTAGCGCTTTTCTTCTGCCTTACATGATCTTCCATTCATCAGAACTTTACTGCCCCCTCAGCCAGTTTGTTAGGGCCTTACTCTATGCCAGGTGGTAGGTAGGTAGCGCTGCGGTGGACGGCGCTTGGAGGGCCTGAGTTTAAAACTGCACTCAGATACTAGCTGTGGCAAGTCACTTAACCCTATTTGCCTCAGTTTCCTTATCTATAAAATAAGCTGGAGAGTGAATTGGCAAACCATTCCAGAATCTTTGCCAAGAAAATCCCAAATGGGGTCACAAAGAGTCAGATATGTTGGAAATGGCTGAGCAACAACAATGTGCCAGGCACTAGGGATATACATACCAATCACTCCCTGAATTAACAAGTATTTATTAAGAACCTGCTTAATATGTTAGGCTTCTGCGCTAGAATCTGGGGATGTACATACCAACCAACCACTCAACTGACATAGATGCTTTCTTCGTCCTGTGTTAGTGAGCCTTCAGTAGGAAAAAATCGTTATATATCATCTAAAGCATCCTAGAAATGTCTTCCATGGGTTTATAATAGGCCACTCTCATCACCATAGGGACAGTATGATGAAGGAGAAGGAAGGAGGTAGGGAGAGGGCAGAAAATTAGGCTGAAAGTGTTCTAACAAGACTAACAATATGAAATCTCAATGGGGAGAAATTGTCCACTAAAATATCCTTACCTTTGCATCCCTCGCAAGTCAGCGCATTATAATGGTACCCAGAAGCTTTGTCTCCACACACAACACATAACTCTTCTCCTTTCATTCTCCCGGCAGATGAGACCATCCGGGGCTTCTTGGTTATCGGGATGTCCACAATCTCAGACTCCCTCGTGTAGACAGTCTCTGAGGGCACTCGCCGGAGTTCGTATATTCCAGGAGAGTACCATTCCTCGGGTTGCTGGGGGTAGAAGCCCAGGTTGGGATAATAGGGTGAGGAGGAAATCTGCGGCTGAACTTGGGAAAATTGGATGTTTCCATACTGTGTATAAGGAGACACATCGGCATCAGGCCCCAGGTGCCCTGATTGTTCTGGAAGCACACCTAAATGAGAGAACAGCAATAAAGGTAAGATTAATCACGAGTTACATTGCAAATGAAGCCTTTATCTATTGAAGACCAGGATTAAAACTATTTTAAATCACCTGGTTATTAAAACATTTTCATTTAAGGAAACATTTTACACAACTTTGGAAAATTAATGGTTTTGAATTCTACCAAGCAGTTGAGGAAATTAAGCCGGGAATGATGATGATGATGATGATGATAATTAATTAGATATCATAATTCATAATAATAATAATTACAGCAACAACAACAATGAGCATTTATGTAGCAATTTAAGGTTTGCCAAGGATTTTACATATACATTATCTGATTGAATTTTGACAACAACCTTGAGAGGTAGGTGCTATTATTAGCCCCATTTTACTGAGGGGATTTAGAAAAACCAGATAAACAATTTTAAGTTTTCTCTGAGCTATAAAAGGCAGAGTATAAGAGTTGTTCTGACATTTATCAACTGTGTAACTGGGCAGTCATTTCACAGTTCCTCATCTATAAAACGAGAACACACTGGAGAAGGAAATGGCAAATCAATCCAGTGTCTTTGTCAAGAAAACCCCCTGGACAAGTCCATGGGGTCATGGAGAGTCAGACATAACTGAATAACAGAACAACAAACATGCCAGGCAGGGTGCTAAGCACTGGGGATAGAGGTAGAAAGTGGCAGACCCAGGGTTTCAACTCAGGTTTTTGGACTTCACTTCTAGCTCTCATTCCATTTCACCATGTTGTGAAGTGGAGAAGGTATTAGCTATGGACGATATCAGAAAACGTCTCATATATTAGGTGACACGCTACGTAAACAAGAGAAAGACAAGGAAGGAGGAACAGAGGGGAGAGGGAGGGAAATAGAGATACACACACACACACACACACACACACACACACACACACACACACACACTGTTCCAAAAGGATCTTACTGAAGTTTTAAGCTATTCAAGTTTAAAATGGCACTAAGACTTCTGGGATATATTATGTTATGTTATGTCATGTCATGTCATGTCATGTCATGTCATGTTATGTTGTGTTGTGTTATGTTATGTTATTATACATGATTATATATGTAAGTATGCAGGTGTTGCTATATGTATGCACATATATATGTGCATATATGTATATATACACACTCTTTACTAACATTGTGTGTGTATGTACACACACACACACATACACACAAACGGTGTTCTAAAAGGGTCTGTTTTTTAAGCTATTAAAGTTTAAGATGGCACTAAGACTCCTGGGATATATTATAGTATAGTATAGTATAGTATAGCATAGTATAATTATAGTATAGTATATATATGTATATACAACATATATAGTATATATTGGAATATATGTGTGTATGTGTATATATATATATACTGTACTTATGCATGCACATGCACATACACATGCATGCAAGCGCACGCACGCACACACACATACACACACACACAGTGGTCCAAAAGGGTCTTACAGTTTTAAACTATTAAAGTTTAAAATGTCACTAAGATTTTTGGGATCTAGTATAAATATAAATACATACAATGTAATAATATATAATTATTTTTGTAATTATACATGTAACGATACATATGTAACTATATGTATATGAATATACACTCATACATACACATATAAGGTAGGTAGTGTCTGCCTCACAGGGTTGTTTAAAACTCAGAGAGAGGCAAAATATCTCATAAATTTTAAAACACCATCATTGATTTACTTATTTGTTTATTTAACTGTATTTTACTGGACCTATGTTTCCATCAGGGAGACATGTTTGTTCTGCTGCCCAGGTTATTCTTCCTCTTCAGGGTCTGCCTAATAGGGCAGGCAGGGGAGCCAGGGTTGTCAAAGATTAGGCCCAAAAACCACAGGCCTTCCAAGCTAGAAAGGTTTCCAAGTCAGACCTGGCGAGGACTCCTGAATGTTAGTTGGACGACCAGTGTCTCGTTTCATTCCAATACTAAAACTGAACTGGATGGACCTTGATATAGACTGCCCCAAAACAGAGGGAACATACTAGCGGTAGAGGTAGTCAAGAAAGGTCTCATGTAAGAGGAGGTACTTCTTAAAATGTCATTAAAATACAAAAATGCCCAATAAAACTATGATAAATATAACCTTAACTTTTTAGGGGTGAGGGGGATAAATTATGTCCGTTACAGCACAGACGTGCTCTCTGTCACTGTCATTCCTTTGCTCCAGGATTTTTTTTTAGGCAATTGGGGTTAAGTGACCTGCCTAGAGTCACAAAGCTATTAAGTGTCTGAGGCCAGATCTGAATTCAGGTCCTCCTGATTTCAGGGCTGGTGCTCTATCCACTGTACCACCTAGCTGCCCCTGCTCAACGATTTTCAGTGGTTCCCCATGGCCTCTAGGATAATATACAATCTCCTCAACTTGTTGTTTGAAGTCCTCTGGCCCATCTTTCTAGCTTTGTTTCATGCTGCTCCATTTATTTTACGAAGGTAAACTATGTTCTGGCCAAAGTAGATTCTGTGTCATTCCCAGGGCTGGGCATTGCGTCTCCTGCCTTTGTACTTAGCACAGGCTGTCACCTTTCTTCAAGCTCACTCCTCATCCACCACTACTTCTCAAAATTCTTAGCTTCCTGATCCAGTCCCAATTCAGGGGCTATTTCTTAAAGGAAGCCTTTAGTGATCCTTTTAGTTGTTGGTGTTTCCACCTTATTTAAATTGTGGTGGTGAAGTGGATAGAGCACTGGACCTGGAGTCAGGAACACCTGAGTTCAAATCCAACTTCAGACACCTACTAGTTACAAGAACCTAGACAAGTCACTTCACCGCTGTTTGCCTCAGTTTCCTCATCTGCAAAATGAGGGAAATAATGTCACTTACCTCCCAGGGTTATTGTGAGGATAAAAATGAGATAATATTTATAGAGTGCTTTGCAAATCATAAAATGCTATACAAATGCTAGCTATAATTATTATTAGTAGTAACTTATCTGTTTAAATGTGTTATTCACCCCAAGTAAGGTACTTGAGGGCTGGGTCCATTTTTTAATTTTATCTTCGTATCCTATGTAGCCTAGCATAGCATTCTTTCAGATTTCATAAATAGAAATTCAATGGAAAAGAATGGAAATTAATTGAAGTTTCGAAAGGCACACTTTGGGATGGAACAGTGCCTTGGACATTATCATGGGTCCCTTTTGTTTTTATTCTAATGTGTTTTATCCTAAACTTAAACACCAAAAAAAGGAGAAGAAGGGGCTTCAACCCAGTAGAACAGAAGATTATATATGAAACTTCAAATCTCTATTACGTTCAGCTTTCTTTTCTTTTAAAGTATATAATAAACTAAACATGTACCTTTCAAAGTGCATCACCTCAATGCAAGAATTTGTTTTACTTGGTACTTGGTACAAGGGTTTTGTTTTTCTTTTCTTCTTTTTTTTTCCGATGGGGGATGGGGAGGAACAATTAGAAGATGAAAGGAGCAAAATTAAATGCTTTTTAACTGATTTCTCCCTATAATTGTATTTCTTTGCCATGGTATCAACCAGCAAGCCCAGAAGATGGTGAAGGTTAAAATAATGCCAATGTGGGTAGCTAAGTGGCACAGCGGATAGAGCACCAGCCCCGGAGTGAAGAGGACCTGAGTTCAAGTTCGACCTCAGATACTTATTAGCTATGTGACCTTACGCAACTTACTTAACTCTGATTGCTTACAAAAATAAAATAACGTCAATAATAATTCCAGACAGCATCATGGAATAGTGAATACAACATGAATCTCAGAATCGGGAAGCCCTGCCTCCTATATGTAATGGCTGTATGACCCTGGGCAAATTATTTAACCTCTTAGTGCCTCAGTTTTCTTATCTGTTAAAACCACAAACAAATAAAAGATCTCCAAGGTCGCAGCTTTAAATCTACAGTCCTATGATTACACAAGAAGGGAAGGAAAGAAATTATCTTCCTGATTCCCACCTCCCTCTTATAGATAACTGCCCTTCTTTTATCATAATCAACTTCTGATTTTATTTAAAATATTCCCAATATTGACTCCCAATCATTGTAATAATCCTTACTCTTAAACAAGAGGAAACATTGAGTAGTGAACAGAGTTGGCCTCAGAGCTGGGAAGGCCAGGGGGTGAATCCTGCCTGTGGCAGACACAAACCTAGAAAAGCTGCTTACCCAATCAGCACCACCAGGCACCTCTCTAAGACAAGTTTCCAAGTAAGGGCTTATCTGCATTAATACAAGGTACTGTTTCGGTCTTTCTGTGGATAGAGGACTTGGCCTGGAGTCAGGAAGACTCATCTTCCTGAGTTCAAATGCAGCCTTGGACACTTACTAGTTGTGTGACCCTGGGCAGGTCACCTCACCCTGTTTGCCTCAGTTTCCTTATCTGTAAAATGAGCTGGAGAAGGAAATGGCAAACCACTCCAGTATCTTTGCCAGGAAAACCCCAAATGGGGTGATGGAGAGTCAGACACAACTGAAATGACTGAACAACAACTGCTCTTGTCTGGAGAATTAGAACAGGGATAGACACTCAGGCCTCTGGGGCATCTGGAAGGCCCCAGCTGGACCAGAGGAAATGCATCTAGGCAGAAGAGCTTAACAAGCTTAAGAAACTCCTCTGGAACTGAGTAAATGTCTTTAGTTGAGTTTCTGATCTCCTTATCCTGTTATTTTATGACTGAGTGTGTTTTAGCTTAGAAAGGAAGCACATCTTGGTGGTCTAGTAATGTGTGGAATGAGAAAAGGAAAAGGAAGCAAGAACTGGAAATGAATGTCAAGGTATGGGGGCAGCAAAAGTAGCAGCAGAAGAAGGTGGGGAGCAGAGATGAGAACTCAAGGAAACCAGTCAGCTCAGGGGACCCAAAAGTTCAGGCTTTGCCTTGAGTTGGGCTCCATGGGTTCAGTGGAATCTGAGGTCCAGGCTGGCTCACTTACAGCTTTTCAACAGCGTTTCAATAAGAAATCTCTAGTTTCTGATACATGAGATGAT